ATCAACAATATCTTTCGCTGCAAACCATTAACATGACATATGTGTAAAAAAAAAGCAATAGGATTCGTAAAAGAATGAAGAGTAGGGAAACATAAATTTTGATCCATCTATGAAATTCTACAAAAGCACAACAAATTCCATAAAAATTATTATAACAGTACAATTAGCAATCGTCTTTCCATACTCATTTCTTATATGAAGCTATAAGCTATAATATCAATATAGCATGTAGGTTGACAAGAAAACATTATTAGATATGCTTATGAAACACAGCAACAGTAACATATATTTCACAAGAATAAATGTTACAAAAACAACACGTCTGACTGTTTATATGTCAAATAGCTCTTTTGTCAAATCAACCATCAATCGATAATTGGTTATAGAACAATTTGCTGACTTTTGCTGAAACTCTGCAGTTTGTGAATAATTTTACTAGTGAAAATTTTTTTTTCTTTTTTTTTGCATGATACTAACGTTATAGTTCACGTGCGCGGGATTTTTTAATACCTCTAATACAGCATATATACAGCTTATCCATCGCATGTTCTAGTACAAAAAAGTAATTCTGAAAAAACTCATTAATGGATAAAATAAAAGTAACTACTTGTGCTTGCTTAATTAGCCATTAAAATATCATTTATTTCCTCAAATATATGTTACGTTGAAATCTACTTAACAAAAACATTTTGGTATATAAAAAGGATATAATAGGATATAGATTATTGGTGTCTACATTTACATTATACATATATATGCGTAAGGAAAATATTTGCAATGACCTCACGTACTATCTAGGCGACCTCACGGTATCACAATCATACATTGCACCTTGTTTCGTAATGGAACACGTCCATTATGGTGGGACATTATGCAACAGACGCAATACCAATCAATTTTTATATAACGAAAAAAAAAAATAATCATGAACATTTTTTTCTTAACACATTATGTGTAAATCGATCATTTCATGACATTATTCCATCATTCTATCTTGCAAAAAATTGATTTCTTGTAGTATTCGATGAATGAATGCATGGTATGCATGCATGTATGCATTGCAATATTTCATAGCAATTGTATGTATAATATTTCACATACATTTCATGATACATTCATGCACCATTTTATTTTGCAAAAATTTAATAGTTACTTAAAGTATTCGATTAATGTATGCATGCGTGTATGCATTAAAATTTTTCTTTGCAATTTTTCTATGTGTAACATTTCACATTTCGTGCATTTTATGATTTCTGCATCATTTCATTTTGCAATAATTTAGTATTTGCAGTATCTGATGAATGCAAAGCATGCGTGTATGCATTGCAATATTTCATAGCAAACCATCTTACACCTCCTAATCATCTATACGATAATCGTAGGTATTTCGTGCATTCCTTGATATATCCATTTATTATTTCATTTTGAAAAAATTTAATTGTAACATGCATGCATGCATTGCAAGATTTCATAGTAGTAACATATCGCAATACCTGCATCTCATAGTTGTGAATTGATCATCTGCAAGATGAATACGGGTACTTCTTGGTCGATTTATTTTATGGCATTTTCACTACGAACACGATCATTTTATACTACTAATGTGCAATTTTTTCATTTTTATTTTTTGATCATTTCAAGGTCATATTAATGAGTAATGTTCATTTTCGAACTTTTTTTTCCTATTATTTTTAGTTTTAGATTAGTCTAATAATAGAAAGTAAAAACTGAAGTCGATGAAAGGAAAAAAAAAAACTATTTGTCATTTGTATACCACGGATATTTCTTGGCCGAATAAATACTTGGCGGAAAATATTTCTGTCTTTCAATAAAACTCAGTAGAAATTTGTGTTCACATTTCCAAACAAAACTTTTTTTCTTACTAATTAAATTAAAAAGGTTTTGAAGTGTTTTTCCATTCCTTTGTCGATATTCTCGAATTTCTTTTCTGTAGCCATTTATTGTGAAAACTTGAGAAATGATTAATTCGATGAGCAATTGAAGAAGTCCATTTAAAATTCAATGAAATTAGGCAAATTGTAAAGAGAGGAGAGAAGACATTAATTGGTTTTGATTTCAAAAATGTGTACTAACAAATGGAATATTGTTATATGGTAACGGGAAAGTAGCATTTGCAAAACATTAGAAATTTATATGTAAAAAAAAAAAAGGCGATAAATGCACTTTTTGCTGGAAGGAATTGTTTGCGCAAAAAAAAAAGGATCTCGTGTAAAATGAGTAAAGGAAATGAATTATAAATAGAATAATTTCAGATAGTTTACAAATAAAATGTAATCAGGAATAATTTGGGAGGAAAAAAAGGAAGAAATTGAATCTAGAAAGCAAAAATTTTCTTTTTCTTTAGGTTAATTGGAAAAGATCGATAGAAAGGGAGGAAGAAAAAGGAATAAAAAAAGATGAAGTTAAAATTAGGATTTGTTTGGGTGCCAAATGTATGTGCTAATTTTAATTGCAACTTACTCGATTAGCTTAAAGTTAAATCCTCAACAATGTGTACTAAAAGCTATGGTGCTAATTAGTAACTTTAAAAGTGTACCAAAAATAGCTCATATTTAAACATTAAATGGCATACCAGAGATGGCTCATATTTTGTAAAATTGTAAAATTATGAATAAATTTAAATTATTTGACATATAATTTGAAGTAGAAGAGTGAACAATATCAAAATGTCAAAATGATTTCCATCATTCATTGACAAGAAAATTGGGAAGGGATAGGCTAAAGGAAATTGATGGAACAAGATAATTATCAAGAAAAGTGTAAAACTTCAAAGGAACAGAAAAAAAGAAACAATTCAAAAAGGTAGCGAATATAACCTCGAAATTTTTCAGCAATTAAATTTTAATTAGATGAAAGAAAAAAAAGAAAAGAAGAGCGAACAACCAGATATGGCGATGTCACTTTTTGTTTTTCTCTATGATAAGAACAGACTAAGGAATTGAATCTAAGAAATAAATATATGCGATGCTTTTGATTAACCTCTCTAATGAATTTTATGAACCAAATTAGCATCATAACCCCTCATTCCATTTCTTGGCCAATTACCGTCCTTCATTGCTTTTCGTATCTGCCAAATACTACCAAGACTATTCTCTGGGTGTGTGTGTGTGTGTGTGTGTATGTGTGTGCGTGTGTGTGTGTGTGTGTGTGCACACATCCAAAAACATAAAAATCTTTCATCGATAATCAGCAACAAACTCCTAATTTTGGGAATATCCTGATAACAAATGACCAGCCTTTAGCTGTTACATTATCGTAACATCATCTCATACGATGTCAAATATGGCTAAGCAAAGAGAAAATAATAACTGGAATGAAAATTTTGATGGAAAATTATTTCGATAATATTGGTTT